ATACCCAAACACATATAAGATGCATTGTGATATCACTGTGTTACATCTCCGATCGACCGCACAAACGACCTCAGTATAATACCCAAACACATATAAGATGCATTGTGATACCACTGTGGTATCACCGAAGGACGGAGGTCGGGGGGACGGAAAGAGAAGAGATGAAAGAAAATACCTAAAATGTTCTTGCATTAAAATTTACCAAAATTATAAATTTCTTAATTTATCTATTGATTTGTGGTTGAGATTGAACCTCATAGTTACCACAAACTAATTAGTTTTCATTTAATTAGACCCCTATATATACATATATATACACACACACACACATATAAGGTTGGTTTCACGCAAGACCAGTTTGTTTTCATGAGACACGTGAGACAACGTTTTTACATTTGAAAATTCATAGCAGAATGATGTGAAAGTAAAAAAAATCCGAACCTTCATAGTAAAAAACATTGTGAAGGTTATCTTACAGTATTTTGCTGTAGAATTTCAAGTATAAAAAAATGATTTTACGAGACTTGTAAAAACAGATTGATTTTACGTAATTCCAAGTATATATAAAAGTTAGGATAAAAGGCGTAGAAATCTTCATTTTTCAAATCAATACCAAAGTATCGAGATATATGAAATTAAAATTACTTGTCGTGTTTTAGCTTACTTCTGGTCGTACTTCCTTTCTCACATGATGATGTATGTTCACAGAAACATAGACGCAGAATTCTATACCTAATACTCGCCTTTCAAAGCGCTGCCTTGCTCCATTCGTCCCTTGCCTGGTTACTCCAACCGGCCGGCGATCACCGGTTTTACACCCAGCCGATCTACCGGAATCGTCCGTTTTCTTTGGCGTCTTTTCTGCCAATCGCTTTCTTCTGGTGAGAAGTAAGTAACGATCGTTTTCAATTCTTGATCATCTACGTATATGTTATAGTTTTTGTTGATCGGATTTGTCTGAAGTTTTAATTTTTGTGTTACTTTGATCATTCTGCTGTTTTTTTGACTCAGCTCATTTGGAACCCTAAATTCGAAAATTGAAACCCTAGTTATTTTCAACCTAAATTGGATTGTGTTATTTTTTTTAACTAGCTAAAGTTTGCCCTTTATGTGATTAGGGATTGTTTTTTTTTATTCGAAAAAAAATATATATAAAATCGGTTATCAATGTCAAAATTCAGTAATAAGCAATAATTATTTGATAAAATTTATTAGAATTGTTTATCTACGAGGATGATAATTTAGTACTCAATTATATACGCTCAGTTATTACTGCTGTTACTGTTGAATGGGGTTTATATACTTGCATTACCCTTATCATTTTGAACCATCGATAAATGGAGATTCATTTATGAATAGATTAATGTGCATTCTGGTGGGGATCTGCTGCTAGCGTAGACCGGAGGAAGGGAGCGGGCTAGGTAGGTAGAGGGTGGGGATAGGGTCAGTGAGTCAGTAATTAGGTTACCGTAGCTCTAAGTTAGACTATGGGTGTATAGTTTCTTTATCTTGGTTATGTTTTGCTCGTACTTGCTTCTATTTGTATGTTATTGCTTATTCATAACTATTTTTTCAAAATTTATTATATCTGCCTTTCTTGCTTTCTCACACTTTTCACAAGCTGGAGGTCTTCTCTAGGAAACCACCACTCTACTCTTTGGGGTAGACACACCATTAGAGTCTGCATTGTGGTCTTTAAGTTGTACTTTTTATGTGATGTGGATAAATTACATTGAAGCTACTTCATGGCATTTTCCATATTTGTACCTTTAATGGTGTGTCTACCCCATAATGATAATAACGAGAGAGTTATGGCAAGTTGGCAACGTATGAAACACTAACATGGATACACCTAAAATCTTATAATGGACCTAACATATTCAATAGAAAACAACATGTTATGTTAGAGTTCTGAATATGGCTTTATAAATTGTAGATGCATGAAGATGTATATACTAAATACTTGTTGCATAACTTCAGTCAAATGGTTCACTTTCAAATTACAAATGCACATATTATGTTAAATTCTAGCACTTATAACAAATGGTTCATTTTTTTTCTCATGATCTTTGGACTTACCTCTAGCATCAAATTAGGAATTACCATATAATCCAAAAGATAAGTAAATTTCATACTAACTCCAAATACCACCTATATTACCATATAACCAAAAGATAAGATAGTAAATGTCATGCTAACTCCAATACCACATATTCTTTCAAAGATTGATGAAGCGATCATGTTCTATCACTGGATAACCACACATAGGATCTGAACAAGTATTTGGAAGCAGCTCTAAATTGTATTAGTTTGCATAAGTATGTGTTTATCATATATGAAAGGATTAATTGAAGCTAATAAAGTTGAAGCATCTGAAAGTATGAGTATTGATGCCCAATACGGATTTGAAATGGATATGTCAAACCTTTAAGAAGTGTTTGTGCTTCATAGATTGCAAGTCTCGCAACTAGTACTAATGAAGATAATCGTGGAGTGTTAAGTCAACTTATTGACTCGAAAACATCAATTACTGAATCGAAACACCCTTGAAGAAAAGATGAAAACCTAAGAGAAAGGGAAATTGTTGTAGGTCACCAAAAACAATATGTTGCCCTTAACCATAACATTAACTGAAAATGTTCCATCTCATATTCAGTATCCCTCACTTTTTCTTCTCTTGTCCTATTTGGTTTGTAATAAGTTCAGGAGGTCGATGAAGAACATAGGACCATTATGGTATGGATAGAGAAAATGCATGGCAAGTCTATAGTCTATACAAAAAACTATTAATTTAATGTCTGTGTTCTCTTGATTGACATAATGAATCTGGTATGGATTACTTAATGCACTAGACTTGGCATTTAATTTTGTTACTGTCATGGGAAAATGATTGTCTGTGATTGGAAGAGTTACACAGTTGGAAGATTGGAGGGAGAGTGATGGTGCAACTCTTATCGACAACGTAGGATGCAAGATTATAGTAGGGTGAGGCTACCATTATTTTAATTATAGAACAACGATAAGCTATATTAAGAAAAAAAAATGACAAGCTTGTAATTATGTAATTGAAAGCAACCAATATTACATATAGGTAATAGATGAACTTACCTTTCAAGAATTCTCTGGTGCAATACATATTGCTTTCTTCTTAATCATGTATAACTGCCAAAAATATAATACATTATTAATCATGTAATATCCCTTCGAGTTAAGTTTGTAAAATCCTAATATATTTAGTTTCTTTTAGGAGAGAAAATTGCAACTAAACAGCTAGATATAGTGGCAGGTTAAAGTGTTTGAGTTTCTTGAAGTGTGCAATTCACTTGTCTGTTCAGGTTGGTATTGAATAGAGAATAGAAAATCTGAGATCAACCATCAAATCTACTTGACTTGATCAAATCTGCCATCAAAACTTTCAGGTGTTCTGTTATCATTTAAGGGAGGTACTGGTATGATATATTTGTTGGATCTTAGTGGTGAGATTATATTTTTCATGGATATAAAACTTTATTATAAATAAAAATGAAGCTCATATTAAAAAATGTAAAATTCGCCAGGTTTAAATTGAAACCCAATTTTTGCACTTGACCAATGAGTCATATCTGTTGTCTGTTGTGAAGACTATATAATGGTACATGCTCTGAAAATTTCAGTGAGGTGGCTAGGTAGCTTTCACTGCACTAATGTGGCTTGGTATTGCTTTTTGGTGACGTGAGGCTGTTTTCCTCTTGTTCTGATTGAGCATGTTGCATGCAGTTCTATGATTCTAATATCTTGAATAATTGGTTTTCCAGGAAAAAGATCAGTGAAAATGATTATGTATGTGAAAGAAGCCATACACAAGTACACATACTACTTACTGTAGTTTAAATAAAATAATAGAAAAAGCACCAAGAAATATCCTGTTCACTTATCCTTATTTTAGTTTTCATCTTCTTAAGTAGATGTATTGCAGATTTCTTCTTTGAACTTATTTTAAAGTTCGTTGAATGCCAGACTTGTAGTGATCTTTCTTTTGCCAGTAGGGGTTCTGGCCATGAAATCCATAGGATGATCTGGTGATACTCTTGACCACTAAGGGGGATGTTTACTACCTGCTGACCGCTTCTTACTGGGTAAGGGGTGCTTACCGGTAAGAAGGGATGTTATTTACCAACACACTCTGACCCAAAAATATGTTGATCGAGATGTTGACCCAGTAAGGAAGGGTCGCTGTCCGACTCGATCAGCGCTTACCCAGACACTTGGTAAACAACCATTTTCAGTCGGAGCTTACCCAGAACGAACCTGTTACGCAGACAACATGCTTACTTGGTTAACGCTGGCCCAATTTGTGTTAGTGAGCGACCCCTAACCATTTGTAAAAAGTTTCAGCTGTAGGATATAGCCACCTTCTTTTAGTAATTATTCACTCATCCATCATGCGCTTCTTGTTTTGCAGAAGCGGTTACCTTTCGTTTCAAAAATCCTAATTCATCACGAGGGTTTCTGCCAGACAGATAGATGTCTGCAAGAGGACACGGACCACCGGCTTATGGGAGCCGGTCGGCACAAGCTCCTGGGATGATGCGCCATGGTTCATACCCTGTGGGCCACGGCATAGAGCCACTGCATCCTGAGCATGCAGATAGCAAACTAGTTGCTCAGTCAGCTGAAATAGAAAGGCTTGCTGGTGACAATCAGAGACTGGCAGCCACTCATGTGGCTTTACGTCAAGACTTGGTTGCCACCCAACAAGAAATTCAAAAACTCAGGGCCCATATAGGAAGCATCCAGACCGAAAGTGACATTCAAATTCGCATCTTATTGGAAAAGACTGCGAAAATGGAAGTTCATGTTCTAGCCGGTGAGACAGTGAGGAAGGACCTTCAGAGGGCGCACACTGAGGCCAGGGCCTTGGTGGCAACTAGACAGGATCTGATTGGTCAAATTGAACAGGTTACCGAGGAATTGAAGAAGATCCGTGCTGATGTGGAAAAAGTACCAGAAATGCATGTTGAACTTGATGGCTTGAGGCAGGAACACCAGAAGTTACGGTTAGTGAATGACACTTGGCTCTAACCTTTTTCAAGTTTTCCTAGCTATTTCTCTAAAACTTGGTTCTTCTGTTGAGTGGAAATAAACCAAATCAAACAAACCGCATATGTCCCACACAGAGGTGGTCTGGGGCGTGGGATGTACTCAGACCTAACGTCTGCACCGAAGAGTAGCACGGGTGTTTCGGTGTAGACCCCTGACTTGTGCGAAAAGAAATGAAAAAACTTGCTCAAATTTTTTACCAAAAGGCAGTGCTAAAAACTGAAAATGAGCGAGGAAGAAGCAACAACATTCAAACAGACAAATAAACAAACAAACAAAACACAACCAGAAGCATGTACAAGAAAACATAACCAAGGTAGGAAGATGCACACACCCTAGTCTAACCCAGGAATGGGAGGTCTAAAAACTTGTGAACTCTKGCCATCATGCAATGCAGCTCATCAAATCTCCAACCGATGAGCTAAAGAGCTACAGTGCCATAATATAGCTACAAATCATCTCCAACCGATATGCTAAAGAGCCAAAAATGTGCTAAAATGCTCTTCTTGATGGGTCAAAAACATCCTGTGTTGAAGAACACTAGCACAAGTTGAAAGACAATGATGAAGTCCATTTTAACTCGAATAAAATGTAATTTTGATATATGTTTTATTTTATTGGTTGAAAATTAAAAAATTAAAACTAAATACTCAACTAAATGCGTTGGTAGAAGTAAAGATTTGGGAGGTTGAATTAATCGATGATAATCAATGGTCAAGTAGTATATTGGGTGGTTAAATAAGATATAAAAATATTATTTAACTAATTTACTTATACTAATTAATATATACTAAAAATTATTATAGTTAAATCATAAATTAATAAATATATGTCAAAAACTACAAGGGTGGTGCCTTATTGGTTTGAGCTTGGCTCCAAATGTCAAAAGTACCTGGAGGTCTCAGGTTCAAATCCAAGGAGAAATAAAAATCTTCTTGTGGCCACGGAGGTTCAAATGCAGTGACTCCGGGCTATCTGCAAAGCAGGTGGTCGCCCTGAATTAGTCGGTTTGCATAGCGGGTTGGATATTCAGGTTAATCAAATAAATAAATATATATATATATTTATATATGTCAAATATATAAAAGTGCTATAATTTAGCACTAACAGGTCGGAGATGACTAGTTTATTCTAGTGAAAAGTGCTAAAACTTAGCACCAGTGCTATCTTTAGCATTTTCTGTCAAGACCTGTATCCAGCTCCATCATTCCTTTTTAAGCCACCTGATTCCAGTATTGTCTCTCTACAAACACATGCTTATTTGCCACTTATTTCATAATGTTCTTGATGATGTATGGTAGTAAAACTTCAAGAATTTGATGGTTGGTCTGAAATTAATCTTGTTTCTTGCAGATCAACTTTTGAGTATGAAAAAAGCTTAAACATGGAGAAAGTGGCACAAATGGAACTTATGGAGAAAGACCTTGTGGGGATGGCAAGAGAGGTGGAGAGGTTACGAGCTGAGGTTTTGAACGTCGAGAAGAGGGCACACGGTATAACTCTCTTCTTTTTATTCCTGTGCCTCGTTCTCCTCTGCTTTAACTTTTTCAATTAAGGTGTTATTTCTTTACATCATTCAAACGTTTTCATTTATATGGTGCAAGAAAAACCAGATATGTAATTACGGGTCCCATTTACTTGATGAATTGGAATTGGAATTGGAATGGGAAGCAAATAATGAAAAACATAGGCGAATGGTATAAAGGAATAGCCTATAAATCTTGAACCACAAGGGTGGTGCCTGATTGGTTTGAGCTTGGCTCCAAAGGTCTAAGGTACTAGGAGGTCCCAGGTTCAAATCCAAGGAGAAATAAAAATCCCCTTGTGGCCATGGAGGTTCAAATGCGGTGACTCCGGACTATCTGCAAAGCAGGTGGTCGCCCTAGGATTAGTCGGCTCGCATAGTGGGTTGGATATCCAGGTTGATTAAAAAAAAATCTTGAATGTGAAACCTACTGTTTCCTACCTGAAAAATAACAAAGTTTGTGCTGTATGCAGCACCAACCGTCTTCGGTGGGGCGTATATGAACCAAGAGTTATACCCTCCACCACCTCGGATGCACGCTAGTGGCGGCGGTTATGTTGATGGGTATGGAAAGCAGCAGCAGCAGCAGCAGCAGCATCATCATCATCATCTCCAGATGGGTGTTGGTGGTGCCAGAGAGGGAATGATTCCCTATGGCGGAGGTCATACTGGACCAGCTGCTCCAGGTGGAAATCCTCAGTGGGGAGGACCACCAATGCCCTCCTACGGAGGAGGCCACCCTGGATCAACTGCTCCAGGCAGCAACCCACAGTGGGGAGGACCGCCATATGATGGTTCTTATTCTAGGGCCTGAAACGGTGATAACTGCCATCTAGGTTATTTTTGTCCTGTTTCCAATTTGTGCCATATGCAGATCTCACCCAGTTTGTTCATGCAAATGTAATCCCAGTAACTTATAGTGTTATAGGAGTTTTAGATGTTACAGAATTTTGGTTAATTTATAACATTTATATTCCTGAATTTTAATTTCGTTTTTCGCGTGGTTCGCTCTTTTTGATTGTTAAATATTGTCATTGTACAAACTTCATCTAAATACGTCTTCAATAAATCCCAGTAAGTGAAGACAAGGACTCTTACCATGATTAGCGCTTAACAGGGATAAATTGTTACATACTATGCGTTTTAATGAATAAAATTTTGCCCGATAAGTAAGCGATAGTGTTGAATTTTACCGGTAAGTGCTTACCGGGTAAGTGTTTAGGTAAACGGCCTCTAAATTGCAGATTTTTTTTTTGAAAAGGACGAAATAACTGAATATGCTGATTCTATCTCAAATATATTTTTACCATTTAAAGTTTCCAATTATATATGATTATGGTGTATGCTCAAACCCTCGTATAATAGGTTGAGTTTGGATTCTCATTTGGGTTTAAAGCATCCGTGTAGTTTTTTTTATTTTATTAACCTGTATATCTAACTTGTTATGTGAGCCGATTAATCTTAGAATGGCCACCTGCTTTGCTAGTAGTCTGGAGTCACCGTATTTGAATCTTCGTGGCCACAAAGAGGATTTTTATTCCTCCTTAAATTTGAACATGGGACCTTCAGGTACTTTTGACATTTGGATCCAAGTTTAAACCAATCAGACACCATTTTTGTAGTTACATCCGTGTAGTTTGAGATTAAGAAAATGAGTTTTGCGTGTTATACGTAATTTGAATAAAAAATAAGGGAATAATGAGAGATCAATGAGTGATGTGCTGCATAAATGATGAATTGTACAGAACATGAGAGATCAAACTTACAATTGATAATGGAATAATGAGTATGGAAATAATAAAGATTAATAGAACAAGCATAACACACACATATAAGATTGGGTTCCGGTGAGAATGAGAATTAAGGTGAGAAACGTAAGGGATCTTCACCATTGGATGTACATTAGGATGAGATGCACCATCTCCGTATCAAACGCGATTCATGAGCGAGTTTGAGATTAAAGGTGATCAAAGGTACAGATCCTTCTTACATTTCTCATCTTAACTCTTTTTTTCACATGATCTTTCACCTATATATGTGTGTGTGTGTATATATATAGGCACATTCAAGGGAGAACTGATTAGTTTGTGACTTTATGGTAAACGTGAGATCCAACGTGAACCACTCATTTAAGATATTTAAGAATATTTCTTAAATAAGCTAAAAATGTAATATAGTAATTCTATATTTGACAACTAATCAAAATATTTAATTAAATTTTTTAGAATGAAATATTTAATTAGAATTTGTTACCTAGTATATCAATGACATCGTATTTTAAAGACGTTTGTGAATCAAATTGTATCATAGTGATAACGTTCACAACGTTTCACGTGAATTACAATATATTTTCTTTCTTTTATGAAATGTATCATAATGTGCATTTTCGTTATTTTCATTGTTTTACAAAGGGTATCATATTGTGCATCTTGTATGTATATATGGGTATCACACTGAATATCTGTTGGTATCACAGTGTATCTTGTATTCACATAAGGTTTATCGGAATAAGATTCGTCGAATAAGATTCACCGGAGAGAGGAATGAGGAGAGATGAGAGAGGATATTCATAAAATCCCTAAAATACCCTTAATTAACATTTTAAGTTAAAATTATCAAAATTGTTAATATTCTAATTTAACTTTTGATTTGTAGTTAAGATTAGATCTCACGGTTACCACAAACAAAACATTTCTCTCTCTCTCTCTCTCACACACACACACACACACACACACACATATATATATATATATGAGAGGTCTATTTTACATATCATGTGATTCTTACAAACTTTACAAACCAATCTCAATTGTACATGTAGATAATCAACGGTATGGATTAGATCGGTTCCTAAATTTACTTTCAACCGCATTTTATAACCGCCTCTAAATTTTCCTAAATTTACTTTCAACTGTATTTTATAACTGCCTCTAAATTTCAAAATAAACAAAATCAATGGTTGAGATTAAGTTTGTAGGATTTGTTAGAATCACATGGTTTATATTTGAACCACCCCCCCCCCCCATATATATTTGTGTGTATGAGAACCTGGCCTCCGTTACGAACCAATAGACAACGAGAGCACACCACGTTTCTGGTTAATTCACGAGATATTCATCGTGAATGGTGTATTATTCATCATGAATATTGTAAAAAAAATTACGTCCATTATTCCTCATGAATACTGTAAAAAAATTCATGTCCATTATTCATGATGAATGGAAAGATGTATTGCACTCTCGATTGTCCCTTGGTTTGCAACAAAACTTCTCATTACAAACCATATAATTCTAACAAACTATAGAAACCAAGATTCTAAATGACGTGAGGCGTGGCGTGGTGGCAAGGTCAAACCTCAAACCTTCCAAAGTACGGCGAGGTCATGGCGTTTTTCAAGGTCTGCCCTAAGGCGGAATATATATACATTAAAGTAACCTTACACCTTACAAAATAACGCATCGTAACGTGCCATAACGTGTTACAGTGAAAGTCAAGCCTTGAATGGAGCCATAGGAGTTAATGTGGTAGTGAACCCAGGCCTTGATGCCATAACGAGGCCATAATGAGTTATTTAGAGCTATGATAGAAACCATAAGCAATGTTTGCATTAGGATGCAATAGAGATATTCATAGACAATTATCATGATTCATTAATTATGATTAAGATTTATATGAAAGATGATAAGATCTATTCATTATGATCATGGCTTTAAGATTAGGAAACAAAATGAAATCAGATATTTATTAAACTAGATAGACGACTAAAATTGGTTTGTAAATACAACGTCCCCTGTATATATTAGTAGTGGAGCAAGGTATGCAACAAGGAGTTATGAGACCTTCATCTTAGAAGCCCATCTTCCAAAATCAGAAGCTATCAACTTAAGGATGGTGATTTGCTCCGACCCAGTGGGGAACCTGTCTCACCCACGATGACTATTTTGTATTTTTAAAACTACAAAGATGAAAAGTGTTATTTTCGACAAATCATAGGGACTAAATTATAGTTGACTCTTTATTAAATGTAGAGTGAATCAATCATTTGGTCATTCGTGAATGTGTCCTTTTTTGGTTTTCGTCCCTCAAGATCATAAAGTACATTGGTGGTCCAAAATTCGTGTGTTGAAGCCCAAATTAGTCCCTCCCTTAACACTGTTAGAGAAAGCTCCGTTAAGTCAGTCATGTACCTCTCACATGAGGGACAATTTAGTCATTTTACCTGTCTTCTTCAACCTTACATCCATCCCCAAGAACACTCGTACTCAAGTCAAGAACATTCATACTCCAGTCAACAACATTACCTATCTTCTTCTCCCTTTGAGAAAGCAAATCAAGAAAAGAAAAACTTATATCAATAAGATTAATAATTAACAAACATGCTTAAAACATGGTTAAAATGGTACACTGGTAATAATTTTCATAAGTCAGGAATGATTAACTTATCAAAAACTGCTTATTACCGGTTTGGCATCGATATAAGCAGTTTTATTTTTCCTCATCCAAAACACTAGCATTTAGCTTATCCCCGGTGCCAAACTGAAATAAGTTAAAAAAAACCTAAAATAAGCAATCCCAAACACCCCCTTAAAATCAAACTCTGAGAATATTCAAAGCACACAAATTTAGACGATGAACAAAATAATTCATTTAAACATAAAACAAAAACAAAATCTGAAGATGTGAAAACATGAACGTTGTTAAGAAGAACATCCAAATTCCCAACCATAAAACTAGATCTGGAGACTGATCCATCTCACAACCCAAAATCAAAACAAAATATGACAATCGATTCTAAAACCCTAAATCAAGAACAAGAAACAGATATGATATCGAAATCGTCTTCATAAATCATCCAAGAACACCATCACCAGATCAAGATAACCATCTGACTTTTGGTCAGGTTCTAAAAAACCAGATCAAATACCTTTGCTTGGATGGTTGATTCGATAACCAAAAAACCTTAGATGGTTGGCTTTGAATGAGAGAAGAAACAAAATTGCCCATCATGTGAGAGGCATATGACAAGGTTAATGAAGATGTTTTAACGGTGTTAGAAGGAGGGACTAAATTGGGCTCCAAAACATTTTTTGGACCACGAATGTACTTTATGATTTCGAAGGACGAAAATCAAAAAGGAGGCATTCACGAGGAACCAAATGTTTAATTCACTCTTAAATGAACGAAATGTTTTTAATAATATAATCAATATTATAATATCCAAAATGAACTGTTTTTGATTTTCCATTTTGAAGAATATGTTGGAGATGCTCTAAATGTTTTATAAGATAATATTGATAATAGTGAATTACAGTTTTGGTTCCTGTCTATGGTTGCTTTTTCGTTTTCCTTCCTTGAATTCCTAAAATTAACTTTGTCCATTCTTTGGTTTTTTTAGCCCAAATAAGTCCCTCCCATTAACACCGTTAGTCTAAAGTCCGTTAAGTGAGTCATGTGCCTCTCACGTGAGGGGCATTTTGGTCTTTTTACCCATCTTCATCTCCCACCTCCTTCAACTTCAATTTAAGAACCCTAAATTGGTAAAACTCAGGTTCAACACTACCCACCACTGGTCACAAATCTAAACACAAACACGTAAAATCAAAACCCTATATCATATATAAATCCAATAAGAAAATGGATAGAGTAATACAGAAGAAGCTAATGGGATCAGAGGGCGTGGGTATTATTTATAAAATGGTATGTATTATTTAAACTATTTTTTAAATGAAATAAAAAGAAAGGGTAAAATGACTGATTTCCCCCCTCACATGATGCATTTAACGAAGCTCTTCTAATGGTGTTAACTGTAGAGGACTTAATTGGGCTTCAGAACATGTAAAATAGACCAAAATGTAATTTTATGATTTCAAGGGACGAAAATAGAAAAAAGAAGCATAGATAGTCCACTCTATTGATAATAACCATGTTTTATAAGATAGTAGGGATGTGTATGTTATATTTCGATAATTCTGGTGGTTGGTGTGGATTTATTAAAACTAGAAGGGGTGATAATGTAACATTTCTTCTATTTAGGTTCATCTGGGTCTCCCGTCAAGGCCTCAACATTTCCCCATTTTCTGAATCGAAGCTTCATCTTCTTCGTTTTCTAATCAATCAATCATGGCTGAGGTACTGAATGATGATTCTTTATTGTTTTTTGCACTAATTATTGTTTTACATTTGTGATTTGTTTCTTATTTGATCGGTGTTATGATGGACTCTTGGATTATAATCTGCATTGCTATTCGTTCTTTTGGGATCTATAGGATTTGACTATGTTTCGCTAAGTGTTGTGTACGATCAAGGCTTCAATTTTGTTTTTGTTATGCGCCTGTGACTTTGAGATCGACATTTCTTTCATTGCTATATGGTAATTTAGAATTTTGGTGTCGTTTTGAACAATATGAGAATTGGAATTAGATCGAATCATTGACACTTGTCGAAATTTTCTATCCTTCATCGATGTATTGTTATTATTATGGAGGGTCGCGGAGGGTTTTGTTTGAATATGGTGTTGTAAAATATTCAGAATCCATGGGGAGGACCCTAGTGGAGGAATCTGAGCCCTATATGCGACCATTGGAAAGCATATTCTTGTGATGTTTGATGCCTTTGTTAAAGATAACTAGGGTATGTTAAGCAATAATGAAACCAGTATTGCTTCCCCTCCCCATAAAAATAGAACAAGCGAATTGGCGAATAATGAGCCCTATTGCCTCCCCTCCCCATAAAAATAGAACAGCGAATCGCTTCCCCTCCCCATAACTAGGTCTGTGCACTAATCGGCGAAAAAAATCTTTAGTTTTCCTTGTTTTGGTGTCCTTTCTTAACTGAAATGCCAATTGGTTAAAGTATTACTTCTCTTTCATAAGTGTCTAAGAGGCGGGTTGGTTCGCTTACGTTATTGGAACTCTATAATAAAAAAAATAATATTAAAATAAAGATGGATCGAAAGAAATCGACCATACTTAATCTTTTTCCTCACAATTCCTTCGAAGAAGTCTTCCCACATTGAACAAAGCTGAATATATGACTCTGAGTGCATATCTTGCTTCGATGCCAACAGAAATTTGTTAGAATCCTCTTAGCTTTACCCTTGTATGCGTTAGCTTGGATTTCTTGTAATTGTGTTGTGTTTTCGCTTGATTGTGTTGCATAAAGCTTCCACAAAATATATTAGGATATTGGAAATTGGATTACTGTTGAACAAAAACACTCTTGCCGTATATTCTTGTTTGCTCTAATATATTTATTTCTTTACGTGTAAATGAACAAAATTATTGTTGATTGGGCATATTTCGTTCATTCAGTTACACCTAATGAAATATCATTGAACAATCTTAAAGTATTTTTCCTGTTTTCTATCTATGTAATTAGTGTTGAACCTTGCTATTTAATAAGATATCAATTGCCCTTGGATGTAATCACTCTTAATGCCATTTTGTAATGATTTTCTTTCATGATGTCTTCAGATCGAGTTGAAGACGGCACCGGGTGACTATCGTTTCCCAACAACAAATCAAAGCAGGCACTGTTTCACCCGCTATGTAGAGTTTCACAGGTATGCTATGAGAAGTATATTAGTATTTTGACATTTTAGTTACTTTTTATGATACAAACTCTATTACTTACGCTTAATATGTTTTTTTTTATAGAACTATGGTATCACCATCATGCACTTCTAATACGATGAAATAGGTCTAAACATGCATAGAGTTTGTTTGGTTTTCTTTATGTTTGAGGTTGGATTCATTTTGGAAATAGTGTACCTCAAACTAGTTCGGACAGGCTTGCAACAAAAAGGAAAGTTACTGTTGAGAAATTTTACCAAAATCAGGGAACAAAATCAACCATGGAGAAAATCGATTTCTACTGTTGCTTGTCAACTAAAACTAATTGCAGAAAGTGCATAATACAAAATGTTAACTGCTTCTAAAGTTCCAAACAAAAACAGTAAACTTCTAATTAATCAATAGAAATTATAGGTTTGTCCCTCAAAGAAAAACTACACTGCTGTAAACTAGGATCCGAGTCACACTATTTACAATCTACACCTTGACTTGAAATCCTAGTTTTGACAATGCTTCCAATTATCAATATTGAGCAAAATCCAAACAATGTTTGAACTTGCTCTCTGGGATTGGTTAGTAAGCACATCAGCTGGATTGAGGATAATACTTTTGTACTTATTTTAGGGAGATGAAATTTACAGCTTATTAGTTTCGAAACTATGGTGGGAATTTTTCTTGGCTGTGAGACTGAAAGGAGGTGAGGACACATAAATTCTTTTGTCTTGATACCTTCGCAAGGGGGCAGAGTGACTTTGCTCAAGTGTTGGATTCATGAAGTAGAAGTAAAAGCAAGATAAGACATCAACTTAAGTATGTGTTCATTCTATATATGTTCTCTATGAGTTACGAGATAATTTCTTCCTTTTAGAGGTTTTCTTTTAGACTACTATATACACGCATACAATAACGTTTAGCACCTCCTTATCCTCAAACTTTTAGAATCTCCGAATCCTGGTATCCGCATGTTGCACACCCATATATCTACATTCATGTTCTTACGTTATAGCTTTCTATGCAATCTTTTTCCTTGCATTTTACAAAGAGACTGTTTTTGTGAGTTGTGACTCAAACCGATGGCCGCCTTGTTGTGAACAATTAAGCTCATCTTTCTTTTTGGATGACATGATCTCTTCGAAAATTCTTACTTGCAGTAGAAGGATAAATGCATGTCTCTTTCATGTAGAGAATGAGTAAGCCCCCATGACATTGGATTATAGATATTCCTATCTACCCATAAATCAATAAATTTGGCACCATAAGGTAAGGAGTGTCAGAGATCAACAGGGGTATTTGTGAAGAAATAAATTTTATGGTATCTCAAACATAAAGCTACCCATGATTCTTCGCATCCACCAGTAACTTTTTTCACCATAAGTTAAGAGAACACAGGCATGTGTTTTGAAACTGTTTGCCCATGATTGGCAACCTAGTTATGGGTCAGGCAGAATAATAGTCAGGAGATAGCAAGCAGTAATGAGTCGATTCTTTTTTTAATGAGCTCATACACTCTTTTCTCTCTTTCTTTACTTTACAAGCTGTCATCTGAGTTTATATCTTTGTGATGATTGAAAAGCTTGTTAACAAGAAGCCCAAGTTGTTCATGAATCTCTTGATTTAATGTTTTCCTACTTTAAATAATGCCATATGGTTCTCTCTTCTGTATTTGAAGCAATGTATATTTTCTTTGAACGAATTTCTTGCCTTACTAATTTTTGATCAACTGCAGATGTGTGGCAGCAAAGGGCGATGATGCTTCAGAATGCGAGAAATTTGCTAAATTCTATCGTTCTCTTTGCCCGGGTGAATGGGTGAGCAATTACTTGTTTCCCTTGTATATTTGATCCTTATTTGAGCACCTAGATTCCACAACCTTTTTGCTGATTCTCATGACAAAATATGTTTGAATACCCATATCTCCCAAGTTCAGTTACGGGACATTTTATATCTTTATTTAAGCTTGTTAAGTTGATCAATGGATATCCTTTTGGAACTAAAAAGTATTGCCTTCTGGTATTAATATTAAGGGATCAATAAAATTAGTAGGGTTGCTTATTTGTCATAGGCGGTCCGGGCCGTGGGAAATGTGGTGAACAAAGATGTCATCATGTCCCCAGTCCCTTCCCAACCTTGTCAAAACTGGGGAGAGCCTCGGTGCATCCCTGTATCTGTCGATACACACAAAGCAGAATCATGGACTTTATGACCATCATATAAATCAGTCATAGATGGGCAAAATCTGATGAGAAGTTTATAAAACTATGTTATTTTTATCCATATTCTTTCAGTTTACAATACTTGGCTTTCCAAACTTTTACCTTGCTAAGAAAGACCCTTTAAACCGTATATTCAAGTGAAATGTGCCCGTTTGAGGATTTGAACAAGGGGCCTGTTTTGTTTTTTATTGCTTAATTAGCTGAATGAACTTATGATTTATTTGCTCAACCTTTAAGCAGTGCTTATTTTTTACTTAACTTTTAAGCCACAGCAGAAATTGCTGAATCTGATAAAGGTTCAAATGAGAAGGGTAAAAAACTTGAGAAGGTGTGCAGGGAGGTTCATATGTGAGTCGGTAAACCCCAAAAGAAATCCATTTGAAGATGCATATGTGAATTCACATTTTTTTTTATCAATGATTCAAATATGAACCTTTCATTTGCACCTTCTTCACCTTTTTGCCTTCTCATTTGAACCTCCACCCCCCCCCCCACCCCCACAAACATATATATAGACTTGAGATCATGTGAGAGCAAGGGTTTTTCGTGAGACCCGTTTCACCAATTCTCAACCCTTTGATTAGATCTACAATCTTAAAATTCATAATCATAAAATTGCCACGAGACTTCTCAATAATCACAAAATTGCCACCGTGCAACTTTAGACATTAGATCATTAACTTGTAAAGTTGATCAATGAACATAAATTGGTCTTACGGGTCTCACAAAAAACCCTTGGTCTCATGTGAACCCAACCCTATAGACTTTGGGATCATGTGAGACCAGTGGTTTTTCGTAAGACCCGTAAGACCAATTCCCAACCATTGAATTAGATTTACAATTGTCAGATCTAAATATTCATAAAAGCCACGAAACTTCTCAATAATTACAAAATTACCACCTTGCAACTTTAAACCATTAGATCATTAGATTATAAAGTTGATCAATGAACATAAATTGGTCTTACGGGWCTCACGAAAAACCCTTGGTCTCACGTGAACCCAACCCTATATATATATATATATCATGTTTTAATAGGAAAAATGAAAAACAACCCTATTCATACTAACACCAAACCATATTTGTGATTGATGTCAGGTTGACAGGTGGAATGAGCAGAGGGAGAATGGGGTATTTCCAGGTCCTCTGTGATCTTAAGGAAGGAAAGGAGCCATTGAATTATTTGTATTTGGCTAATAAGTTTTTTATGGACAACTTGCTACATCTCTCTCCATTATGTTGAATGTTTCAAGTTACTGTTTCTGGTACTTGTTTGTTTTGGCACAAAAATATTTTATCACCCCTCATGATTTCATACTCTATTCATACATTCTTTAAAGGGAGAAAGAAATGAGCCGGTATACGTGTGTACGAATCACAATTGCCATGAATGTTTGGAATCAAGGAAAACCGGTGGTATAAATGCACCTTTTAACTATTTGATAGCATGAATTGACTTAATTCTGACATTAAAATAAATGTATATAAACATTTTTTTTTTCTTCGAGTCAATCTTCTAACATGCCACATTGGCACGTTCAACTAAAATACCACTAAACTTTTAAAAGGTTCTGTTGTCCATAAAAGTTGCATTTAAGATGAATGCACTAAAATAGTCTCTTAAGTATTTGTAGGATTCCTAAGAAATTATTCGATTTCTTCAGTCTGCTTCTCACGTTTCGTGAATAGTCAGAACATTGAGGAATATCCAAAAAGGCATTTGGAGAATTGATTTGATTCTATCTATGGTCCTTCCGTTTGAAGAAAGCAAGGATCCCAAAGAATCGATCTTTCTTTTGGTTGTTGATTGGTTGATCAATGTGTGATATTATAAATTCTCATTACTAATGGAATAAAAAACGACCTATGGACCCAGGTTCAAATCCAAAGAGAAACAAAAATCCCCTTACGACCACAAAGGTTCAAATACGTTGACTCCGGTCTACACGTAAAGCAGGTGGTTACCTTGAGATTAGTCGGCTTGCAAAGTGGGTTGGATATCCAGGTTAATAAAAAAAAATGACCTATGAATTGATCAGATGATCCTTTCAATTGGCTACAATCCCTTGCTTGAACGAAACTAAATCTTGTCCATCCACGTGCATCTTTATATTCAAGGTTTACCTATCCTATTATTTGGGAACCATCCAGAACAACAGCAAAGTAAAACTTTTCAATTTTGGTTAAAGTCCAGTCCATTTGTGCAGCAGCACAGACAGATTTCAATTATAACCAATCTCAAAGGTCCCAAAGTGACAACCAAATACATAAAAAATAAAATGTAACATCTATTTTATAATAAAATAAAACAGCTTAGAAAAGTGAAGTTCCCTTGCCCTTCTTGTCTCCACCAATCTCAAAATGCTTGCACCTCTGCACATAACATAACATAAATAACAAACAAACATACATACATGGTTAATAGAATTCAAACAATCTAAGATTCAGTGTTGAACCTTAATTGGGTGCTGAGACACATGCTTGCACCCTTGGCATTGCAACCTTAGCACAATCTTCTTCGTGGTTTTCGCCTGTTCAATTGCATAAACCATCGTAAATCTAAAAGTAGAAGCTTTGGTGTGTCATTGGTTTGATTCACAAGAATGTTTTTGGAAGAAATGAAATCTGCCAAAGAAATTGAAATCTGTCTGTTTGGTTCAAATAATGTGGCTTCTATATTACAATGAGTTCACCAAAATACCCTTTTATGATATAATTTAAAGGGAATTGACCAAAACAGCCAACCTCCCCAACCAAATTCCCATTTCAGCCACAGTTGCATAAACTCCATTTTCGGATTAAAAAGAATAAGAGAAAAACCCTTTACTAAAATTTGCACAAGGATCCAGATTTGAGTAAAGAATTTTTTCTTTTCTTTTCTTTATCCTGAAAATAAGCTTTTATGCAAATACCTTACTAAAATGGGAAATCAGTTCCAAAAGTGGCTAAAAAGTAAACTTGGTTGGGGAGATCGGCTGTTATAGTCAAATTCCTTGTATTTTTGTAACTTCATGCTTAAATTATAAATGCATGTAAATATTTAAAATTGTGTAAATTAGCATTTACTAAAATGCTTTTAGAAAGGGTTCCAAGGAATGGAGAGCAATTCCTTCTCCCCAGCCATGGAATGAGCAAAATCAGTAGGTTGTGGAATTCAAAGATTTTACAAAAACGGAACCAATCAGAGGAACGAAAATTTGGTCTAAAGGAATCAAACATTCCAATTTCAACTCCTTCACATTCCTTTGGAATTCCACAAACCAAACAGTACCTTAACAAATTTTGATATCTTTGCATTGATGCTTAAACCAAGACACAACAGTGACTGAAAAGATAAAATCAGGATTTTGAATTCACCTTCTTGTGAAAGACGGGCTTGGTTTGTCCACCATAACCTGACTGTTTCCTGTCATAACGACGCTTCCCTTGGGCAGCCAAGCTATCCTTTCCCTTCTTGTACTGTGTCACCTTGTGCAAGGTGTGCTTTCGGCAGTCCTTGGACTTGCAGTAAGTCTTCTTAGTCTTGGGAACATTAACCTGGATACGAGCAAAAAATTAAAGCATAGTTCCATACAAGCTAAAGCCACCAACTTTAATGTAAAATTGAAAAGACACAAACGTTAAAAATCCTAACTTTCGTTGCAGATGAGATCTTTTAGTACACAGCAAGTAATAGCACATTACTGCTAATAAAAAAATCAATATTGTTACTAAAAAATAAGAACAGTAAGTGACACAAATTTAACAGTGTTGCTAACAGCTAAAAGAAAATTGATGGTACCAAAATATAACATCTAGAAAATTTAACAGAGACGTTTAACACTTAATTTTCTTGGCAACAGCAAAAGCCCCAAAAAAAATTTTAGCAAATTATACAAGTCTTGACTTCTCAGTTCTAACTAATTATAATTATGCTGTTTATAACTAAAATTAGTTTTGCCAAAACTACTTCATATAGCAAAAAGGCACCAGAAGGTGATTATATTACTGGGTATTGCTGGGCCAATTACCTTGTAGCCCAACCTTCATGAAGTTCAAGGGTTCAAACTTCACCAAAGATGAAGAGTGTGAGTTATGTCGTATATAATTAGACTTCAAAAGAAAGTTAAATTGAACCCACACTGTAACCACAATAACACTTCCCACATAAAGCCAAGGGGTGTGTTTGAAAAAAGTTGGGAACACAATTTCAGAATGATTCTTAAGTGAAGGTACTCCCTTTGCCCTTGAAAAAAGTAACATTGTACTCCTACATGTAATTGATAAAATCCAAGACTACTAATCAAATAAATATTTTGTTTACCAAAAACCTAATTTGCAGGGTAACAATAAGCAAAGGTTTAGTTTCATGTTTGCAAAAAGGGCAAGCTCGTAATCTCCAAGAGACGTATCAAAGTGAAAACAACCACAACTTACAGTGAGCTATTATGCAATTCTACCCAAATGTGCTGATTCAACACTAAACTTCTGAAAACATTTAACATTTTACTCAAAATTCATATTTTTAAGTTATATACTTATCACAGTAACAAACTTCAAATAGAAGTATTCCGTATCTATCATTGTCCAAAAATGGTAATCAACTCATATTGCATCTCTATTCTCCGTTAAGGATTTGATAGTTTGCAACAGTCACTTCTGCCACACAACATTCACTTATCAAATCAACTAATTCACGTTTCCTTTGACATATTTCTCCCAGTTCAAAGCATGCATTCAGAACAATCTAAAAGAAACACTCGAAGTAAATCCTCTACTTATCATATGAAGAAGGAAGCAAAAGAAATTAGAACTTGAATTTAATTCTACCATCACCGTATCAAATACTAGCATATATTAGACATGAAAAAGGCATTGAATTCCATGGCACAGATCACGCAACACCAAAATCCGTTTCCACACAACCAAAATCTTATGAAAAAACGATTCAAATTCCTATTCATACCGGTGCCAAATACAGATTAACGTCTAGGTTTAAAGTTGTTCCAGCTCAATATACTACAAACTACAAATCAAATACGTAATCCAAGCCCTAAGAAAACAATTAACGAAGTAAAAATAACAGAGATTACGGTTTTACCATGGCTGCAGATCTCCGAAGAACCGGTCTGCCTGATGAAAGAAGATAGGAACCACCAGACTCTAGGGTTTCGTCAAAATGTAAGTTTTGACCTTTAACAGGGTTAGGGTTTTATGCTATGCCACAGGCCCATGCTAAAAAACAGGCCCATTCAAGTTCTTCCAAAAATAAGGGAAAATTGCATTAAAATGGAACCAACTTTCACCTAATTCTTATTTTGAGGAACCAATTTTCAAAATTATCATTTAAGGGTCTCTATCAAACTTTTTGTTTATTTAAAGGTTTGGTTGACCTGTTTAGCAGGTAACAAGTAATTTATGATGAGTTGGCAAATTATAATTTAAAGATATATTAGGTGGATATTAATTTGTCAAATCATGAATATTATTAAAAAAAGATTAACAATCAAAATTTGAATATCTTCAAAATCTGAGTATCGAAGAGTCTCCCTTGCTCGACTATCTCCTCCGGCGGCCTCTMCGGTSGACCCGGACACCAGCCATCGTTGCCCTCTCCGGTCGACGCGGACACCAGCCATCGTTGCCCTAGTCTATCGTCTCGACTATCTCCTCTGAGTGCCTCTCCGGTYGACGCCCGCAACAGCCATCGTTGCCCTCGTTGCCCAAGACGTCGCTGTTCACACTTTTGGCTGCCTCTCCGGTCGACGCCGGCACCAGCGGCATTCACAAGGTATGAATCCTCTCCAATAAGTTCTTTCATCATGTGATTCTTAAATCTCTTATTGGTGTTTCTTCTCCCGTGTTTCTTCCAAGTGATTTGATTGTGCCCTAAATCTGACTGCATATTAAAAAATTCTTTGTTTGCAATGGTTAAATTGATGTTGAATTCATATTATGATGCTCCTTAAGGTGGTGTTAAACAATGTCTTTTAGTCTTCTTTTAGAATTTACATTATAAAATACTTTGTTTGCAATGGTTAAATTGATGCACCTGAGGATGGTCGATGCATGGTTTTAGAATAGATTACCTTGTCTAGATCTTTGTATAAGGTTTCTTAGACTCCTTACATTGCAGACCTTCTAGACTYCTTATAAGTCTTACTAAGGAATGTCAGAGAAGGGGAACCTGGTCTCGAGATATTTCACAAAAGGATGCTCTGTAGTCACACATATTTGCATCTGTTCATAAAATATTAATCTTGATGAGGGCATACTACTCAAAATTGAGAACCTTCTGTTGCTCAGATAGGTCAAAAGTGYCTGCAATGTAATGCCATTTGTGATTTAGAGAACTAGGAAAAATGAAATTCCAAATAGCTGTCTATTAGATGAAGATCCTACAGTTGGCTAAATACTACAGATTACTGGATGTGTATAGATTGGGATTTTTCTTATCCTACATAGGGTTGTAATCGAACCAAACGAACACGAACGGAGGCTTGTTAATATTCATTCATTTAACTTAACCGAACGAACCCGAACGATAAACGAACGAAAATCTTTGTGTTCGTGTTCGTTCGTTTAGAAATCAGGTGTGTTCGTGTTCATTTATGTTCGTTCGTTAACATGCTAAACGAACGTAAACGAACGAACATAAACGAACGGGTTAAACGAACATAAATAAATATTATTTGAATTCAAAGTAAATAAACAAAAGATTATATATTAAATTTAGTATATAAACGAACATAGACGAACGAATATAAATGAACGTAAACGAACATAAATGAACGAACGAGACTCTTGTTCATGTTCGTTCGTTTAACTAAACGAACAAAAAAAARTGTTCATGTCCGTTCATTTATTAAATAAACGAACTTCCCATCGAACGGTTCGTTGAACGTTCGGTTCGTTTACAGCCCTAMTCCTACATCATAAAACGYTAGCTTATTACTTTAGAACTAGWACACACCAACCCAAAAATCTTATTTTTTCATACTCCTATGCAGAAAGGAAGTACCAATTAACTAAAATTATCGGTGATTTATATATCAAGGTTCTTAAAGTCAAATAGGATGAACTATTTTGTATGGGATAGATATCCAGTAGGYAATTTTGATGTTTCACTTGTGTTTATAACTATAGCTATTCACGAGGAAAATCTGTAATTCCTTATTCCAATTTTCATTGGTTAGGAAGATATTAGTTGTGTGTGCTCACAGCTTAATAATAGCAGCAGCATCCTCAAACATAGAAAAAGAATCATAAGTTACCATAGACATATTAAAGTTATAAATATTGACAGCAGTTACAAGCTCGTGAACTTTGGAATGGATGATACTAAGGGGTCGTTTACCAAATGCTTACTCGG